TAGGGATACTCAGCCTGTACTAGTGAAATACGAACATTTCTATGGCTACATTAGTAAGAAAAGCAAGTTGTATTCTTTGGGGAGTGTGTGTTAAATTACAGGTTATCTTCAGTTTTAAAATGATGACTTTTTTGGTATCAAAAAGTACTTTTAAAATAATTAAATCTTTACAGCTCTAGGAGGGAGGTAGGACAAATATTATCCCAATAGGGAAAATATTTTAAATGTAGTCACATATTTCATTTTACGAATATTTCACTTTCCTCTAAGTCACCTTCACAGCATACCTGTGAGATTTTCTCATACAGCAGAAGGTGAAGATTTATCTAGTCATCTGTTGAGCTAATAAATTACTGATCTTATTTAAAGCTGCCTCTGATTATTATTACTCTGTCTTTTGACATCCTGAGAATAACGGAGAGGATATATTTAAGACTCACCCAGAGCTAGGCTCTAGTTCAATCACTGCCTTTCTAAAGTAACAGTGTTCTATTATGTACATGTAATGGTACAAATATATACCAATCTTTTGGGAGATGGTTTTAAAAAATACCCAATGACTGAAAACAGTTAATATGAACACTCAAATGTGTATGCAGGTAAGATTTCTTAAAGAATTAAGCGAGACTAAATTATTTTATCCTTTATAGGAAGTAAATGAAGGAATTCAGGGTCTCTCAAATAATGAGGAGGAGAAGAAAGGGGTGGCAGCATCACTACTTGCTCCTTTATTACCTGAGGGAATAAAAGAGGAAGAAGAGAGATGGAGAAGAAAAGTAATTTGTAAAGAAGAGCCAGTTTCAGAAGTGAAAGAAGCAAGTACAACAGTAGAAGAAGCAGCAACGATAGTAAAGCCACCGGAAGTTATGTTGGACAACATAGAAGACCCTTCTCAGGAGGATCTTTGCAGTGTTGTCCAATCTGGAGAAAGTGAGGAGGAAGAGGAACAAGATACCCTTGAGCTGGAACTAGTTTTGGAAAGGAAAAAAGTAAGATTTTAAAGGTTTAGTTGAAGTATGTTTTCCCCCTCAGTACTGTACACAGGGATCATTGTGCTTGATTTACACTCATTATTGAGATTTTGTTATTCTTTAGTTTAGATATGTTTAAGTTTATGCAGTAAAAACTTGAACTGTATAGTTGTAGTATTTTTGTCCCTGATGATGCTTTTGGTGGGTGACAACCAATAAAGACTTGACATTATTCTGATTTAAGGATAGGTACAGGCCGGGCGTGGTGGCTCACGCCTGTAATCCTGGCATTCTGGGAGGCCAAAGCGGGAGGGTTGTTTGAGCTGAGGAATTTGAGACCAGCCTGAGCAAGAGCATGACCCTGTCTCTACTAAAAATAGAAAAAAATTAGCTGGGCTTGGTGGCACGCACCTATACTCCCCACTACTCAGTTTGAGGTTGCTGTGAGCTAGGCTGATGCCATAGCACTCTAGCCTGGGCAACAGAACAAGACTCTGTCTCCAGAAAAAAAAAAAGATGGGTACAGTGAATATTGAAACTGTCATTTAACTTCTTAACAAATGAACATTGTGATAATTCAGTTTTTAATCCTATAATTAAAGTGCAAGTTGACTTCCAGAGATGAGCCATGGCATTGTTTAGATGGTTAAATGGGCATTGTATGATAAGAATTAAAAGAAGCCTATAATTTCATGTGCCATTATTTTACAAAAAAGATGGTCCACAGGAATCTTTCCTCATTGGGATATTGGTGTTTACCTATTTTCTGCCTTTTTTTCCCCCCTTAGAATAGTTTAACCTGCTGTTGCCTTAATAGGTCCTTGTATGAAGCAAAATCTTCACAGGTGTTATAACAATAATATCTTCTTGAAGCTTTCCCCCATTTGAATAATACGAAGTTATGGGGGACTAGTTAAATTAAGCTTTTTCTATTGGGTAAACAATGGAAAATTTATATATTTGTGGATCTCTGGGACCTATCCCCTCCAAATCAATATTTGTTACTGTAATTATGAATAGGCAGATATTGAGTAGCAATAGAATATGGAGCATAATAATGCTCAGTTCTGACGGCAGAAATGTATTAAGAAATGCTTCCTGCAGATTGGATTCACTGATCAACACCTGAGTGTACATACAAAAATAACATTTATTGGGTGTCGGGCAGGTGGGGGGGTAGAGTATGGTACATGCATACATAATGAGCGCGATGCGCACCATCTGAGGGATGGATACGCTTGAAGCTCTGACTTGGGGGAGGGGGGCAAGGGCAACATACATAACCTAAACATCTGTACCCCCATAATATGCTAAAGAAAAAAAGAAATGCTTCCTGTTCTCAGAGATTTTAAATCCTAAGAACATAGTCATGGCTGTTATTTTTGCCAGTCGCAAATGCTTAAATAAGCAGTTAATGACACTCTAACTCGATTGTCATGTTCATTGTAGGCAGAGTTGCGAGCCTTGGAGGAAGGAGATGGCAGTGTGTCAGGGTCTAGTCCACGTTCTGATAACAGCCAGCCAGCATCTCAAGATGGAATGCGTAGACTTATGTCTAAAAGAGGAAAATGGAAGATGTTTGTTCGAGCTACCAGTCCAGAATCTACCAGCCGAAGTTCTAGCAAAACTGGACGAGATACTCCAGAAAATGGAGAAACTGGTAATTCGTGTTTCATGTTAAACTTTAGAGTTGAAAGATATGGAGGGGAAGGAAATTTTCTTTTCCTTTTTTAGATTTCCTCTTCAGCAAAAAGAGGGAGATCATGCTTTGCTCCTTTTGAGAGAAGTGCTAGGAAGGAAGCTTCCTTCTACTCCTCTACCTTTTTCTCTTTCATCTCTAGTAGAGAAATAAAGTCTGAGAGATTGACATCCATTGGGTGGTGTATTCATTACTGAGTGGGGATTACTTCTCCCTCAAAAGCAGAAAAACAAGGTTGACACTGGCCTCCTTTTTTAATTGCTTGCCCCAGAAATTGCCTTGATCTGTCTAAAGCCCGTGGGCTCTCCTTTGCTCGCCATTTCCAGGTGGTAAGCAGGGCAGGCAAGGACTAATTCTGGGGAGCCCAACCTCATTTCTGCTCTCCTTGTATAAAAGTTGCTCAGCCTCCATGTGGATGGGAAGACAGTTTGATCCTGTCATCAGGACCCAACTTATCTTCATTCAGGGTAAAGTAGAAGAGGACTGCTGGGTTTTTCAGTCTTATTAGAGAGCCCTGGATAAAGCTAATATTTTAATCTCCATTTGGCCCTAATTCTATGGTTGACAGTTAGCAGTAAGAGTTGAACACCAAACCTTAGTTGAGTATACCTAGCACAACATACTTACATAGGGCATGGTTAAAAAACAAATACCTGGGCACAGTGGCATGGGAGTCTGAGGTAAGAGGATTCCTTGAGCCAGCTAGCCTGGGCAACATAGCGAGCCCCTGTCTCTAAAACCAACAAAAGGCAAACATCCTTGTTTGAATTTTTTCTTTTCAATCAGCAATATAGAAAGAATATAAAAGAAAATTCTATGTGTCCCTTCATCTTTTCCTTATTCTCATTCTCTACCCCTGCAGTCTATTTTCTCTATCCTTTATGTACATATATCTTGCCAGACCATTTCCTCTGTCTTTACAAAGAAACTCTTCCCCCTCTCGATGGACGTTTAAATTGTGTCTGTTTCACTTTTTTTTTTTGAGACAGAGTCTCACTGTTGCCCGGGGTAGACTGCTGTGGCCTCAGCCTCGCTCACAGCAACCTCAAACTCCTGGGCTCAAGC